GGCATCCGTGCATGCAAAGAGCTGCAGAGGCAGGGGATCGACTGCAACATGACATTGCTGTTTTCATTCGCCCAGGTGGGGCCCGATTCCTTTGTGTTGTCTTATTTGCACCCCACTGTCATTGCTAATTGGCAATGGTGGTATCCAACCTCGACAGAGTCTGTGTAACAGGCAGCACAGCATAACTGGCGCCAGTCCCTTGACACAGAATCAGAATCGCGCTCATACTTCATATCCCAATCACTGCCCAGGCAAGAGCTTGCTATATGAAGGTGTCAACTCCACAAATATCTGTTGCCTGAAGATGTTGATGGCACAAGAACATTGGATGTTTCCTGCGGCATGTATGGGTGAACACCATGAATCCGATCAGCTTGCAACAACAGCAATGAATTCTCCTTTGGGTTACACGTTTCTGTGCTACTGCCACGATTCACGCTCTGTTGTGACAGCCGTCGGGTAATGGCTGGTAGAACCAAATTGGAAAGTAAAAAAATCGACCGGTGCTGATGGCGTCATCAGTGGATGCTGTTTGCATTCTTGTTCATGGTCGTTTGCATGATTGGGCATTGCATTGCCTGTCTGCTGCACAGGCCGTGGCGTGTGCGAATGCGGGTGCGGCGCTGATCTCGCCATTTGTAGGCCGGATCCTTGACTGGTATAAGAAGAATGAAGGCAGGGACTTTGACGCCAAGGAGGTATTTCACTTGACACTGTTTGCAGTGCGATTTCTCTGTAAATGTGTATATAGATGATTTGCGACCCATGTTTGACACCTTCTACTGAGGACCGAAGTCGATATGCATATTGGAGCCTATTTGCAATGGAGCAATATTGCTGCATTGCATATGTATCAATCAACGTGGGGGTATCGATACTTTGCAACTGCTGAGTCGGGTGTGGTTTAATTGTTGGCTGGATAAGGATTGCGTTTGTCTCTCTGACATGTGCTGCCGGGTGTGGCTCATCAAACAGGACCCTGGGGTTCTTTCCGTTCAACGGATCTACAAGTTCTACAAGAAATATGGCCATCCAACAATTGTCATGGCGGCTTCATTCCGGAACATTGGGGAAATTCGAGAACTGGCAGGGTGAGAAAGCTTCTGAAAGAGAGTGAGATATTTTACTGAAGCACACCAGTGGCACTGATAATGTGTGTTCATACCTCTGAATTTACATGGCACCATGCTCCCCCTGAAATTGGTGCTAACATCGCTTCTTTCAAACTGAGGACACCGGGCGCTGCCAAACACTCACAAGTGATTGAGATTCCTAGCGCATGTGAGCAATGCTTCTTGAAATGATTCTTGAAACTCGTGTGTCACAAATTTCGGTCGGAATCGTTTCCAAAAGGGGGGCCCAAGCAGCTTGCAAAATGGGGATAGTTGCCTTGAAACCTCCCATTGTGTTGTTGTGGGTCGGACCACCCGGTTGCAGGCCTGTTTCTCAAGCCTTGCACGTACAACTTAACCTAGATTCAGGTGTCCTGGCGCTTGCGACAATTTTTGTGATTTCGTGGCTGAATTCCGCAGCCCTAATTTGTAGGTGCGACAACATCACCATCTCTCCGGCACTGCTTGAAGAGCTGAAGTCATCCACGGAGGATTTGCCAAGGAAGCTGTGGCCAGAAATGTAAGGCGTCCAGTCCCTTCACCACGTCATGCCGGCGAAACTCGGCAGTAAAGGCCTAACGCTCAGTCCCCATCCTCCCATTGAGCCATGCAGCCCGCATCAGGATTTGATCTAATGTGCCGTTGTGCACTGAGTAACTGCTTGCCTGCTGTGCTGTTTTCCTCATTCTGGAGCAAGCGTACCATTTCCACATTGGTATTTGGCGAATCCGTGGGAAGCTCGGCATCCGCGCGCAATATTGACTGTCTGCAGGGGAGGCTGTGAGGATGCGGCCTATGCCAATATGCACGAGAAAATGTTCCGGGAAATGCACGGAGCAGACAAGGTAAGGCAGCCGAGCGCTGCATGCGCAGAGTGGAATGCTTTTAATAGTCGCCTCTGTCATCCGTAGTTCAGCAAATCCATTGCACAGAATTGATGATTGGAAGGCTGATTGAATTGAACTGCGCTGATGCGCTTGTTACTGGCGTTGCAGCCCAAACCAGTGTCTGTAAACGTGCGATTGTGGGGAAACGTGCTGGACGATGAATATACCCTTTGCTCATCGAGCAACACTTGAGGTGGCCCACGAGGTCAACTGCTCCCTTGATGAGATGTGTCGTACGCCTAATGAACTCCACCATGCACTGGTTCCACGTGTACAGCACTTAACAAATGCGATAGAAAACGCGACATTCGTCTGCCTGGCGCGACCTGTGTCCTGGATTGATTTTACCTATTGACCTTTCCCACTTTCGTGATGCTCAATGCCGTCACCGCAGATGGCCGCGGACAAGCTCCCGGAAGGCATCGACAAGTTTGCTGAGGATCAGAGGGCCCTCGAACAGCTCCTGGGCGAGTTGATGGCGTGATGTCTGCTCCGGTTGATGGGACTGCGTGGTGCACGGAATGATGACCTCTTGGCGCCTGAATGACTGGCGCCATACCGGTGCAAGCGCTTCGCTGGCGTACACCGGTTCTGTCTAGTAGAAAAACGTATGGAAACGCGTCGATTGTGTATCGAACAGATACAACTGATTTTCGAAATGATTGTGTTGATTGGCAGGAGATGTTGTGGTATGTACCATCGCGGCCGTGACCGCCGCTCGACAATAACGGAATCCATTTGCGAATGATCTTATTCACCGGTCGCGATAGCACAGTTTCCGCTCGTGTGGTTGGCGGACTCCTATCCTCCATTGTAATGCGATGCCACCTTGAGATTGCCTGTTTCTTCCATTCGCCCGCCTTGGCGGCTGGACCCGGCGCCACAGCTGACAGAAGCTCCTCGTGCACGTCCTGGGCTTCGGTCCTTTTCGATTGGAACGTGTCCCTGTCGCGCCGCCACACTGGCTACTTGGTGCTGCCATTGTGATTTGCGGGCGAGAAGATCTGCAACAGAATGAGTGGTTTTTGTTGTGACCCTCCCCCCCACCTCCCCCCCACACCCACACACGCACAGTGACAAAGTGTGCCAGTCGTGGCGGTCCCCTCGCGATGCCTTCACGGACAACTCGTCAAAACTTCCTGGAATTGGCCGCCAATTCTGCGAGGTAGCTCTCAATTCATGCGGATTTGCAGGCGGAGGGCGATTGCACTGTGGCCTTAGTGTCTCCAGCGCGTTTTCATGGTGCATTAACCGCATCGTGTGCCTCCATTCAGCAGATTGCTCTTGAGGGCATCGCTGCCGGCATCTACGCGCACGATACGCTGCGGATTGGGATGTCTTATGCGAAGAATCTTGACCGCAGAACGCGCCTGTGCATAATCTGGCAGACGGCGCTTTTCCCTGACTGCGCTTTGAACTGCGTCTTCAAATCATGCAAATTCTGCGCGGTTTTGCAATAATTGTGCGACAATGCCGCGAGCCCCGATGCCATCCCATCCTCCAATGCATTGAACCGCTGTCTTTGTTTCTCCCTTTCCGGTGAGCCTGTGGGCCGCGTTGCAAGCATTGCTCGAGCTCCCCATGTCGCGCAGCATCATGCTGTTGCGCAGACCCCGTACTGGCAACTGCCAAGGCATCCCGATATGCTATGAACGTCGACGTACTTCCTCGAGCAGTAAGTTGCGTTGAGTCGTGTGGCTGCTCGCCATGAGCAATTGAATCCGCCGGCTCGTTGAAATTGAGCAAAACAAAGGGGACCAACCCGCGCGGGCCGGCGCGCCCCCAACAGTTGGGGCCTGCAACTTGGAGTTACTCCAAATTCCCAATAAAAGACTGTGATAGGCATCCAAGCCAACGTGCTTGACTATGAGTAAGGTAGGGACTTGGCATTGCGACGACGAAAATCGTTGAGCATCTTCCACGCGCACAGCCTCAGGCAATGCAGTGACTCACCGTAGTCCCTGCCGCGGCATGTGCTGAAGGCATCAGGGGCCTCAATCCATTCCGGAAAGTGGAGCCAGTTTTGTGCCTTTCTGTCTCTTCAACGAGACAGATGCGTCAATCCATCACAGAAAAATGCGCTACGCCTTCGCCGTATCTAAACAGTATCTATAGCATCCAGATCGCGACGCTGACGAAGGGAGGCAGGGCCGAGGGGTGGCTACCCCCGAACAGAGACAGTGGGCTAGAGTCCACGGGACAACAGGAGTTCTGTCCCTCATATCAATTCCGCTCATCAATCTCCTAAATGCATTTCCTGATGCTTCATCACTTCTTTACGCGTTCGCCGGTTAATAACACTTGGTCAGTTCTAGTTACAACAGCACGTTCCAAGCCTAGGTGCGCCAGCGTCGTCAAAATGGAAAATGGCTGCGATAGCGCGTCACCAGGGGATACCCATTGCAGACCGCCGTCGACAGAACGGCCCCTGCCCACTGCCCACCGCGCGGGGCGGGCACTCGTTCTTCGGCACCATCACCTTTTCCAGTTGGGCACCGCCCCCGCTGCCTGCGGGGCGACCTTGCCGTTGACCTCAGATGTCCGTTGGGGCGAGCCCTTGAGCCAGCAGGCCGACTTGAGGACATGGCGACCAAGGAGCTGCCCTACACAGATCCGCAGTGGAAAATTCCAGGGTAGGAACAAAAGCCGCATGAAGCGCCTGAGCCCAGGGCTTAACGCGGGCGGCCTCCACCCCAGTGTTGACTCCGGAAAACCCGGAGAGTCTCTTGGGGCTGCGATCCGTAGGGATCCAGTTTCGATGCAACGAAGACGGATGGGTATAGCCAGAGGATTGCAGCCAATAACTCTCCAGCTGCTGGCCTTCGACCTGTCCGCTCGTCGTCCGTCGACTGACAACTGGACTGAATCACGGCAACCTCTTGAAGATTTTCTCGCTCTGGGCAATTCAAATTGCTCGGCCGGTCACACGACGTGTTCAAAAGTAGGCACCGGCATGTCTTGTGTGCGTCATATCGGTACTCCACTTTTGCAATGTGGTTTCGCAAAGCTGCACAGCGAGGGGCAGAAGTTTTGGCCCAAAAGCGGGTGGCACGGGGAAATTGAAGTCCGAAAATGACCCTCGACCCTGGCAACTTGAGTCTGGATGAGAACTCACCAATAGGAGACTGCGGGTCACAAAGTATAGTTACCTCGAAACGCTTCCATCCAGATCGAACGCCCCCCAGGACCACTTTCAGCAAGACCATTGGCGCCTGCGGTATTTCCGATATTTAATGGAATTCCAATAGTTCCAGTAATTCCAGTAATTCCAATGTTTAATGCGACATCGCTCGCGATACTTCCACAAACGAGTTTCTGCACGATGCTTACATTGATTGACTCGGCCGCTGGCTTGCAGGCAACTTTCGAAGCATAATCTCAGCCACATGCTGTACCTCCATTTGTCGTGATTCGTATGTCTCATGACTCACACAAGGTGTCATGGCGATGAGCGATGGTGCGCCACAACCGCAGACCGCAGACATGTGGCACAGTGGATTGTATCAAGTCATTGGCTGGCTCGCTCAGGTACACCGGCTACATCCAGGGCCTCCAAGAGACATACAAGAAGACTCCAATCCCATGCCAGATAGAGACCAAGGCGCCCCAGGAGGGCAGCTTCATATTCACAAGGACGAGGACGCAGCACAAGAGCACACCCCACAGGGACCCCTGCAACTTCCCCGAGACTTTGAAGAAGCCCCAGCCTGGCAACCTGTGGCCGGCGCTCCAGGACAAGGCCGCTCAAGATTCACTCAAGCCGCCGCGCAGCAACATCACGCTGGGCGACCTGAGGATTGATCCCTTTCGAACCTCGTACGGCTGGGACTTCGACGCTCCATTCGAGGAGACGAAGCGCATCAGGAGCCCGATGCGCAACAAGGACCTCGCCGCCTCGGAGATCCCTCTGAGGGACCACTACGCCAGCGCGTTCAATCGAGTGGGAGAGTGAGTGGGAACCCAATTGATCGCTCGAAACAGCGCCATGAGTTGGCAGCTTCTGCAGCAATCGTTCTGATACACGTATTATCGCGCAAACACGAACGCACGCTTGGGGCGTTGATGGCGTTACTGCAGTGACGTGCTGTATGAGCAACGGAGCCAGGTTGTTTGTGCAACATTGTGCAGGCAAGAGCGCGTGTGCATTAATGAGCATTACTCAGCCGTGCTCGCAATAACATTGGCTATTGGCGTGCTCAGAATGAATCTTTTTGCGATCAGCGCAGCCCCACATCCAACCAAATACTTGCAGCAATGACATCAAACGAAAAAAGAATGACATCAACGCATGTGGGTTTCATTGCATTCGATCAGAGTCATGCTTTGCACAGGGAGAGGCTAATGAAGATGATAGTCAGGATGCGGGAACGACTTGAGGCCAAGCTAGGAAACGCAAACAACAACGCCTTCAAGATGAGGAAATTGTTCAAGATGTATGACAAAGAAAAGTCTGGATTGGTGAGTCCGAATCCCTTTTTCGGATTCCTACTGTGCATGTATCGCCCCAGTCAGACCATTTGGTCTGCGGATCCTCGCATCTCCTCCTATTGTCCATGCAGTACAGCATGTGTGCTTCGAAGAAATTTGATCATCACAAAAGCGTTCTGTGCCGTGGATTAATGGCTGATGTGTATTCACAACAGGGAACCAGTTTGGCCATGATTATTCCAGCGACAATTAGCACCCATTATCTGGGCTCCCTTGCGTGGACTGAAGGTTCACCCCCTTGTCTTATGAGGCCGACTGCGCGGTGCATCCATCCTGGAAGTCCAGTCTCCAGCAATATAGATGTTCAAATTGCCCCGGAAATGATGTAGCATACAATAATTCATTCAATGCATTAAATCACCTCGAAATTGAATGCTCAGTCTTGCTTCGCGTTCGTGAGCACCACCGTGGTCAGGTTTGTTGAACTCAAACTACGTCACAGACCTCGGTCCAAAGAACACGCACAATACACAGACACATGCGCTGGGCGTGTCACGCGTGTCATGTACATTGCGCTCAGGTGCGCGCATCATCTGAATGCTCTTCATTGCTTCGCTGAGATAACAAGGCAGCACACGAAGAACGCAAATGCCAATGCGAAGAGGCAACAGTCTTCCCGACTGCATTAGAATGAGCAACAAAAAGCTGCCCTCGATTTTGACGCCCGGCTCACCGACCGACACCAGTGGAAAACAGCAAGCTTGCGTTGCTATTTCGACACAAGTTGATGCATCACAGCCACTTTTTGTGCCATCGCAATCACTGTGATAGCATCGTTTTGTGTCAAAATGGCACCGCGGTTGGCATCGCAAGTATGCCGTTTTCTACCAGTGGGAGTGCCAATCAAGGGGCACATGCACGCGCGCGCGCCAATTCATTCAACATCTTCATTTCGAGCCTCGACTTGTGCGCAGATCCAGCTGGAGGACTTCCGCATGATGACCGAGAGCTTCGGCATGCAGCTTGATGACGACTCCCTCCTGGCCCTGTACTGCG